CTATGGTTAAACAGCGGGGAGGGGGGCGGGGGAGGCGTCGTGTAGAGACATGACTTGACCCTCTTCCCTGCCCGGCGGTTCAATTCGCACATGCTTTTGTGGGCATTTATCATCGCAGCCGCAAATTTGAACTCGTGACCTGCCTGCTAGGTGTGGACGGCCACTTGCCATAATGCATCATAACATCGAACAGCAAACTTGTGTTTGTGTATGCGCGAAAACAGCATGCGTCCTGTGTGTCCCGTATAATTTACTGGACTCTTTAGACAGGGTATTCGATACAATGCCTCCGATTGCTTACTGGGCTTTACTCGATCCTTCATCCTCATGACCCGACTGCGCATAGTAACCTTGGGACAATGTGCTATTACAAGGCCCATTCCCGCGGCAACGCGCTCGGCCTCATCTGATTCGTACTTCATCCAAAGCAGTGCATGCCAAATCATGGGAGTTTATTCTGTTTAGGTCCTCAGCGTGTGGGCACGCAAGCATCAGCTTATGAAGGCGTTACGATTGTCATTTTGCGTAAACAGCACGCGCTGATGTGGGGCCTCAATGGGTTTTTTCTTCCGGGTTACTGCAGTGAGTCTGGATTCTTTTTCATCAGTGTTCTCACACAAATTCGGTTGTGCGCCATCAGATGATTGAGAACCTGTACAAGGTTTTCTATGGACCCTCGTTTATACTTTGCAATTGGGATTTCGTATGACGAATAGATGGAGGAAGGGTAGCTGCTGGTCCATTTCTTTCTCCCGCGTAAATTGTATATCTGTGGACATCTTCTTAATGAGATCATGGAAAATTTGTTGCGTCTTCCCTTTGAAGATACCGTAACGGCACCAAGATGTTGGGGCTGTAGGATGAAGAAAATCTTTTCCAGCTCTCGCACGACCAATTCTGCAACTAAACCGAAACCTCGAGAGCCAGTCGAAGTTCCCTTGATTCGTTCATAATTCGGTCCGACAAAGGTGAAGTAGTTATTTTGGCAAATTTCGAACAGTCTCATCAGGTGTTCAATGTTGAGTGAACTCTGGGCTTCATCGTACAGCTCTTCCAGTTTCCTGCGCAAGATAGCTCGTGCCAAATCCGGTGGAAAAGATAAAACTGGTAATGAAACGTCAAAGTAAACCATAATTTTGTCTGGTTTAATCCTCCCGCCATGGAGGTCTGTTAGGAATTGGGAGGCTGAACGGACTGAGGTATCGGAGTTTTCGCGGAGGAATTTTAGTTTCGAGTATATGCGTCTTGCCAAATTAAATGTGTGGGTGCCTTTGCGGGAAACGATTGACCGCAATGGAACGTTCGGTTTATGGAGCTTTAGCAGACCATAGAAGCGAGCCACGGCAGTATCTGTTGATTTCATCAGACGCCGTTCGTTCACAGTGATCACGTTCCAGCGTCATTTGCTGTAGTCATTTGGTAAACTGATTTGATACTGCTTTTGCTTCTGAGATTTGTGCCTGTCTGTAGGATTCTCTCTCAACAACCAGGGTTATGGCTTTCTCGTCGTAATCTTTGCAATTCATAACGACCGCTCACCATCCCTTATCCGCGGGCAGTATGATAAAACGGTCGTCCAATCGCAGTACGTTAATAACCTTCGCCTCATTTTTCGACCCACATTGGGCCGGCCAGTGTGTCCTCAGTAAGGAGGTGACAGTCGTCCAACGGAATACTTATCATCGTCTGTTGTTTCAGTCCTCACAAGCATGG